CAAGTATAGGACTTGAATCCTGATGGGTTGATTTCACCATAAGAAATCTAACCATCTGAGCTACACTCGGTTTGCTGGTTCTTTTATTTTTCATATTTGGGCCGGGTTTGCATATAGTGTCTTTTGTTCTAAAAGGCCATAGGTCATATATACAGGATGGCTTCACAGAAATTGAAAATATATTCAAATACTTCAGAGTACCAAAGTCTTCTTTCTCCAACATCCACTATGACGCGTCATGAGCAAAGCTTGTTGTTGCATCTGGTCCTCTGGCTGAGTGGAGCATATCGAGGAGCTTATAAACGGAGTGACCAGAAAGTCATCAACGTAACCAGAATATAGTGGCGGCCACCATCTGCGTAGCAAATCATCACCATGGAGAGAGAAAACGATAGAGAGGGCATGTAGATCGCCACGAACCTCACACGCTCCTTGACGAAGTTGAGTCTAGGCAACCGTTATCAGTTGGAACTAGAGTCGGAAGACCAAGATGTACAACCACATTGTGCGCTTCGCATGACGACGCACCCGAGATGAACATGCAAAAGAAAATGCCAGACTCAAAGAATCAGATATGAGAACACACCATCTTCCTCATGCCTCACAACCATACGAAGAAGCATCGCCGAAACGAGAACGAGGCGAGACGACTTTATTCCACGTCGACAACGACACCAACGTCTCGCCACCATCAAATAAAGACCTTCTTAATGCCCAAGAGAGGGAAACTATGACTCCCATCGTGTAGCACCACTACCTTAAGTACAACTTTGGATTAATGAATCTTTTACATCAAGTTTTTTGTGTGGGTACATAACGTTTTTTGTGTGGGTACATCAAGTTTGTTTTACCGAATTGAGAAGCCCCGAATTTCAATTCAGAGATAGAAAACCTATAAAACATCCCGCAAACAGCACATGTTCAAGCATTTTGATATTTAAGAATGTAATTTACATCAGGTAAATTGGGGCATAGGAATTAAACTTACAATTTTTTGAATTGATCGAGACTTAAAATATAGTATTATTATACTGAGGCACCCTGTATGTATCACATTACCAAAATATTTCAAATTAAAGCTTGCAGTTGCATTTTGAAGAACCGATGGTCATCCTATTTTATTTGTTGCCACACACATCACCAAAAAGTGCATCCACCATCATAGTTCCTACGCAACGACACAAAGTTCAAAAGAAAGCGAGAAGTAAAGCAAAGGGTGTGTTTGGTAACCTACGTACTCCCCATAGAGCCTCTAAGATGTTGTTTTGGCCCGTTTGGACGCCTGGGTTAAACCAAAATTCTAGCCCGCACAAAACGTAAAACGCCGCCGGGCTGGGCTGAGTTGAAACGTTCGAATCATTTGTTTTCACTCAGCTAGGCTCCATTGAGCCACACGTGACCCTCACCTGCATGCCTCGGGAAGCACGAGAGGCTATAAAACCATTACTTTCCGCTCCTCTCCCCTCACCGCCCAAACCCCCCATTCACACCCCTCTCTCACCGCACCTTCATTAGCACCGATGGTTGCCGGCACTCCACCATCCTGCTGCATGACTCCTTGCCATGTTGGCGGCACCAACCACTACCAGCGGGTTGCCTATGTGACGAAGGCGAACCTCGCCCCCGCTAGGTTGGCATGGATGTCGAAGGCACCTTCCCCCATCTACACCAGGTCACCGACAATAGCGGGAACTGCGGC